CATACAGTTTATACAAAAACAGTGCAACACATGATATACTACTATGATGGTATAGTCATACAGTTTATACAAAAACAGTGCAGCACATGATATACTACAATGATGGTATAGTCATTATACAGTTCATACAAAAACAGTGCAACACATGATATACTACTATGATAGTATAGTCATACAGTTTATACAAAAACAGTGCAACACATGATATACTACTATGATGGTATAGTCATACAGTTTATACAAAAACAGTGCAACACATGATATACTACTATGATGGTATAGTCATTATACAGTTTATACAAAAACAGTGCAACACATGATATACTACTATGATGGTAGTCATACTTACGATTTTAATTCTTTGTTTGATTGCATCAAACTTTTCTTGCGTGTGTACTGCGCGAGTCACACAACTTAAATCGAACGGTTCTAAAAATGAGACAGTCATCAGCACCACAGAATGACAGCATGCAAACATCACGTGCAGTTGTTTTGCTTGACATGATTGGTTAGCAATAGATTAAGTGCGAATGTGAAACTAGACGAAGTTTCTTTTGACTTGCCTTCGATACAAATAAATTTTTTGAACCAAACTGTTGAAGCTCCTTTAGGATATTTTCTTCCTTGTCTAACACTGATGACGTCATCCTCCCAGCTACAATGGTGGGAAATATACTCCAGGTCAATATCACTGATGACTCCGTGTTACACACGTAAAAACGCACAAGTTGTTACAGGTCTGCAAACAAGTTGTTATAAATCTGTTCACAAGCTGTCGACAAGTTGTGTTCGCACTGCTTGTTCCAAGTTGTTGTAACGAGTTTGGAACAAGCTGTTAACAACTTGTAACAAGCTTGGTGGCATTATCAGACTTGTCACAAGGTTGTTCTAACAAGTCTGATACAGTCGTGATACAAGAATGTTACAAGGTTGATGACACAAGGTTGTTACAATATTGTTATATCATGACTGTATCGGACTTGTTGGAACAACCTTACAACAAGTCTGATGATATCAACAAGGTTGTTACAAGTTGTTAACAGTTTGTCCCAAACTTGCGGACAACTTGGGACAAGCAGTGCCTGGGTAGTGGTCAGCTTATATGGTTACACACGTAAAAACGAGCAAGTTGTTAAATATTTGCAAACAAGTTGTAATAAGGTTGTTGTCGAGCCGATATCAGGATGTGTTCGCACTGCTTGTTCCCAGTTGTTGTGACAAGTCTGGAACAAGTTGTTATCACCTTGTTACAAGGTTGAAGACGGTAACAGAACCAGACTGATACAAGCTGCTCGTAAAGTTGCTCAGTATATAAATGAGGTTACGTAATCGAGAAACAAATTCTCTGACATATTACATAGAATCGGAATTTTCGACGTACTTAAATTGCTCGGCGTAGTAACGAAAGAATCCAACCAATAACTCGCCAAGAGTCTCTTGATTGCTGGATCTACAAAACCATCAAACATGCGTGAGAATTGCACATTCTTGAACTTTTTCAAGTGAATGAATAGACCTTTCCCCTTTTGAGTGAAATTTTGATCTAGACAAGTCTGAACAAAAATTTCATCACAGCTTGAAAGAGCATCACAAAATTAGTAATATTCCAAAGTTTCGTTGCGAAATGTTGTAAAATGCGGATAATATAGCCTTGCGAAGTTTGCCGTTTTTCAGTCATTTTGTATTACAAATGGGAAATTGGTAATCAGTTTGATCATCTGATTATCAA